ACAGTAGCATATCCTGAGGAGACACTCACTGACACACTGCCACCATCCTGACATGCGTCATTCCAGGTTGATGCGTGTCAAGATGGTGGCAGTGTGCAGAATGACTGGTGTGTTTTGACACACATTGTATGCAGCTGGTGTGTGTTGCACTTCAGTCCTTATTATGGGTCAAGCTCCAAAAAGACGTCAAGTTTGAAGATCTGGGGGTGTGTGGCACGGTCGCCATCTCTGCTTGAGGCTCGAGACTACATTAGCCGCTGCTAGCGTTACACACTCAAATATCCGTCGGTGGTGGAGTTGTATTATGAGTGATTCAGTTCATTTCAATTCAGTTTTATTTGTATAGCACTATCTGAGGACACTTTTCAAATAGAGCAGGTCTAGACTGTACTCCTTATAAAATTGTGATGTAGGCAGCGGGTTTAACAAGGAAGAAAAATGTGTGAAATAAGTATTTCTGGTTCTGCTGATGCTTTTCATGTGTGGAGAGTACTCCACTGATTTAGCATTGCACATTACGTATTTAGTCTTCAAACACAGTTTGATCTCTACAAGACATCACATTTTAGTAATTTTCTCATGACATGACATGACAAAGTCCCAGAGCCATAGGCACAGAATAGTTTGTTCCTCCTGTGAGTGATAAATCCATATATAAAATGAAGAAAAGGGGATTCAATGTTATCTTGTTAGCGAGAGTATGACACATAAAATACAGTAAAATGAACATTTTCTAAGTTTAGACACTAAAAGCCTTGAAGATGAAGCTGAAAAGGTCAGATCCTCTTTTAGAATGTGAAAGCTGTGATTAATATAACAAGCTTATTTACATAACGCTGTTATCACTGCGTACATGTTGATCTCTTCTGCACTTCTGCTTCCACCATCACGTCACCAGTCCTACATTACATCTTACATTATTACTACAGCCTGCACTGTATCCATCTTTACTACTGTAGCTTTTTCTGAATTCTTCCTGAGATGGATGGAATAGCACAGCAGCAGTGGAGCAGGTATGGGAGAGAGAGGGGCATCCTCTTGCCTATATTTAGAGCAGAATGCATGTCTTTAATATATTCATACAGTACGCTACATCATTTTTACTCCCTGACAGCAGAGACTGGACAAATCCAGGTGAGGTGCATCAGATAAATTGTGCTGACCTTACCTGATCTGTCTACTATCACTGTGGGACAGAGCAGAAGCCAATTGGATTACAGCTCTATTTTACTGTTTAGATTTTTTATTTGGGTTTAATTTAATGCTTGGCTGTTAGGAGTTATATTATTTTCAAAAGCTCAGTTCACGCGCGTGTGTTTTTATGTGTGTGAGTGAGTTTACTCCTCAGGCAGGGGTCCAGAGCACATCTCGGGCTGCTATGGCAACAAGGCTGGCACCCCCACTGCTGCCTCATGGCAAGTGCACAAACACACAGATAGGCACATGAACACACACTGGCACACTGGAACTATCGCCACGAGGCACTTTTGGTGACACACACTGCAGGGAGAGTCCGTTTTTTGCTTTATTACACAGGATTTAGTGCAAAGGGATGAGGGAGGATGGGGAGAGGGGTCAACGTGACATAATGACAACATGGCGGTGAGTGGCCACGTTTTGGAAGGAAATGACCTTTGACTCCAGAGGTTCCACTCTATTCTGTAGCAGTGATTATGGAAATTTTAAACACACAGTGAGTGCAGTCTGAAAGCGATTTAGACTAATCTACATTTCAATCAGTGCTAGGAAAAGTAAGGAAAAGTAATACGACATCCGGTTTGATAAAATAAACGTTTGCTATTATTTTCCTTTATAAGATAAATAAAATGTAAATAATAGAGCATTCATCAGTCTAGAAACTAATATGTTTGTAGCTAGATGACTGACTTCCATTACTAATTCAGCACTGCTCATCCCAAACCACAATGCATTGTTATTATCCATGCTAATACAGTTCACCCTCCTGGCAGCCATTCTCCTCGGCTAATCTGCAAACCATTCAGTTCACCCTCCAGATGTGTCGGAGTAATTAGTCTGTTTATTAGCTGATTATGTCAGTAAACTGCCCACATCCCTGCTGTTGTTGCTGGCGAAAACACAAGGGCGAAAGAACAATGTCGTATCTGTTTTTTACAATCTACAAACACACTTGCACAATAGAAAGAAAAATACCCAAACCCACAGAATGTAACCCCTGTTATTACTGAGAGAGAAGAAAGGAATGATATGTATGAAAAATCAACCCTCTCTCTGCCTCCTCTGACTACGGAGAGCTCACCTGTGCCTCAGGTCTTCAAAGTCACCCTTTTCTATTGATGTGGATATAAATGTGTAATCTTGTGGACTTAGTGATGGTCATTTTTATCCATGTGCCTCTGTGTGTGTGTGCACATGTGCAAGGTGTGTTTATTACAGCCTTCTTTCACCCGCATTGTTGAAATAATTTTGACACAAAACAATGATTTTGGATTTTATCTTTTGAACAGCACATCCTGTCCAGACTGACAGGCTTTCTCATAGAGTGTTCTGCAGACAGAGTTTCTGTAGCTGGTACTGTTTGTCTGTGCAGCCTTGGTGACTCAGTGTACAACCCGGTTCTTATTCTGGCTATTCCAAACTGCTGTTGCTGCTCAGGGAAATGTGAAAAGAGTCTCTGTACAAGTTTTCTAAGAGAAAGCGACTTTATAGCAGGTGTCTAGAACAGCGAATGTAAAAGCATTCATGACACAAGTACAAGATGAATAACAAATGGTCTTTTGCAAGTTAAGCGATAAGGTCCCTGTTATTCTGTATTCGTCATATTGCCAACAAATCCCTTGAAAAGACCAACAATGTGTTTATTTGTTTCTAGATACTTTCCAACCTCCATAACCTTTGGCATTCAGCTACAAGCTCATTTGTTCCCACTGAAGACATGCATTTTTAAAACCTGGACGCAAATATATATAGTTTTGATTTTTAGCCAAGCTGGTGGTGTGGCTCTAGGGATGGCAATGCAGTCTAATGCTCTATTGATTGGTCAGTTCCACCGCTTTCATCCAGACTGAAATATTTCAGTACCTATTGCACAGATTGCCATTAAATTTGGGAAAGATCTCCATGGTGCCCAGTGGATGGATTGTACTGACTTTGGTAATTCCCTAACATTTCCTGTAGCTCCACCAGCAGGTCAAGGTTTTCACTTATCCAGTCGTTTGGTCCACCACTTTGGTTCAGGTTAAATTATCTCACCATCTTCTTTATTGATTAGCATGCCAGACTAAAGACTTAGTTCCTCTTGCACCATCATGTTGAAGCATTGTATTAATTATATTAATTGTCATGAAATTTATTACAGATTTTCATGTTCCCCTGAATTGTAATAACTGGTGATTCCCCAACTTGTTATCTAGCGCCATCATTAAGTCAAAACTTAATTTGCCAGATACTTTGGTTTATGACCAAATATTTGCAAAACTACTGACATTCCCATCAGCCTCAGCTGTTGACATGCAAACACGCTAAACTAATACGGTAACCGTGTTACTGGAAGCATATTAGCATGCTGATGTTATACTCTCTACTCTGTTATACGCTATACTCTCTGTGAGTACAGTACGGCTGTAGACTCTACAGTCTTGCTCTTAGTAGCCTACTTTCCAACTTCCCTGCCCTGTTTGTGGTACTGTAGGACCGTGAGTCTCTCCTAAACACACTCACAGTCCCTCAGCTAGCTTATGTGTGTGACACAGCCGAGGAGGTGAGAAGGCACGAGCTGTCTCTCCGTAACACATTGGCTCGGGATTTAACAAATACCCAGATGATGCAAAGTGATAGAGTGTATGTGTGTGCTCTGCTCCGTTCGGTCACAGTGTCCTTCAGAAAGAGCAGAACTGAGATTTGGATGCACTGCCTGATTAAGCATCAAGGATTTCCGAGTAAAGGCACTAGCATTTAGATTCTCTTGATGTATTTCTGTACACAAGTAAAACGTTTAGAACATTTGATTCAGTTGCTTTAATTATTTAGCCATCTGTTTGAATGGGAGATGCACTTAGCAACCAAAATGTAGTTACAGGAAGTTCTGTATCCTAAGTGGCTTTGTGCTCTTGCTAATTTGACTCTGATGTAACTTTCAGGGAAACAAGTCTTGTTTTTGAGGAAAACTGTACGGTCTGTATGATTTTGATTGTCTTGGTTTGTTTTTATGATAGTGAATGGACTGGAAGAGACACCAGGTCAATATTGCATCCTAGTGTTTCCAAGCAACGGGATGCTCCAACATTATGTGATTAAAACGACAACGCTGAGTTGACTGCTGAAGGCAAAACTATGGTTTAAAAAAGAACTTTAATTTTATATTCACATTAAAATCTTTACCTGGTTAAACAAAGAGAGTGAAGGAAAGTCTCAACAGGCCGAGGTAAATATTGTTTACTTGCTTTATGTTAACTGGATGCGACATCATCCATCTCTGCCCCCTAAATATGTTTCCTGCCTTCACAAAGGGTTAGGATTATCATTTGTGCCCCTGATAACAAAGGATGAGACAGCATCATCAGCTGCTTTTGAACAGCATTGTGGGTATTTGTGTGTGTGTCAGTATTTGTGCTTTTGTGTGTTTATATTTGCATGGGAGGAGGAATATGTTTGCATGCTTTCATGTAAGTAAAATCTTTGGTCTTTGCATGTGTGTGTGTGTGTGTGTGTGTGTGTGTGTGTGTGTGGATGTTGTTCCCACAGAGCTGCAGAGCATATGATAATTGATGATGACTCATCCAGACCTTTGCTTATTTTGTATGCAGAAGATGAAGAGAGAAGGAGGAAGAAAGAGAGATATAGGAATGAATGATCTATTTGGGAACTTGTTTTAAGGTGTGGGGTCAGACAGTGTGTTTATTTTGTGTGTGTGTGTCCAAGAGATACTGTTGCCTCCCACTGACCCCTGAGAAAGACGCTCATATGTTTGAATCCATGTGTAGGAATCCATATTGGTTAAACACACTCAATAGGACCAAACGTCTTTCAGTGAAAATACAGTTTATTTTGACAGAGACTAGAATTGGACATTGACTCATAAACTGCTAGGAACCAGTTAATGAAGCTCTCTGGCCAAGATTCCTGCTTGTAAAGGGCTTTGCCTTTTTTTTAACACGCATGTGGTGTTGATGTTTTATTGTTCATGTGTGTTGCATTAAAAGTAGCACAGAAGACGTTTTAACTACATTAATAATTGTCTTAATGTATTGTTAACGTAGCTGACAAACTACAGATACTGAGCAATATGGAGACTTAGTAGCTGAACTTCACACCTGCAATCATAAAATGGCGAATACTGTCCCAAAAATAAATTAATAAATTAAATGAAAAGCGACACAAGTTGCAGAAAAATTCCAACTGAAAACAGTCATTTAGTCTTCCATTTTGTAAAAAAAAAAGTGTTTTAAATGAAATAGTGAGAACCACATCAGCATCTAACCGTAGCCATGTGACATTTGCAGGTATGTTTATATGCTGTTTAATGTGCTGCTAATTAGCTGACATTAGCAGTGCACTTTTCCCCAGTGAACGTTTGTGTAGTCGCTGGCTCAACAAGCCTAAAGTGCAGGACAAGATATGTGTTCATGTGTGTAAGTTAGATAATGAAGGAGACTTTAGCAGGGAAGCTAATTTGGGTTGTTCAAAGTCTGTGTTATGTAGCGGTCTGCTGTCTGGCTCAGTGTGACCGTACACATAGAAGTACAAAGGATAAGTGATTTACAGAGCAGATATGTTTGCTGTAGCAGACAAAAAATGGCATATAATTCCAGTTGGACTTTAATATTACAGCTCAAGCACAAGATGAATGTGTACATGGTGATTTACTGTTAACTTGAGTCAAACGCCAGGGTCTCTTTTATACTGACTTTTGTTTCAAATATAGATTTTTCAATTGTGCAGAACCAAAAATGTGTTAATTGACTTAAAATTAATCAATTGTCATTTATCAAGTAGAATTCCTTTAAATGTGATTATTTTATTTGTAAATTTAACTTTTGATTTTATGACTTTGTCATTACATGTATTTTTGACATTTCATAGAGCATTGATTAAAAAAATAAGTCAAGGAAATAATCATTAGTTACAACCATAATTCATTGTACCTCTGGTCACACTCAAGTAACTATAGTGTCTAACTGCTTAGAATACTGTCAGTTTTCAAAATAAAACACTGTGTGTGCAGACTCCCAATCATAAAAACAGACAACAAGGAAACAGCCTAACCATGGTAGAAGCACATAAATCAAGGAAAAATGACCAAATCAACTAAATCTGAACAAAATCGAGCAGGCGAAACTCTCCTGGTGGGGCATGAAGCCACGAGGAGTGACGTCACAGAGCTGGCCTAGTGGAACTGAGGCGTAATACTGAATAGGTTTGTGAATAGGTCTATAAAAATAATCAGAACATGAATAATAGACGGCATATCCTGAGTGAAGTCAATCAAGATCTTTTCTAGTACGAAATTAGGTTTGTAGCAGAGCCAATGTTACTTATAGTTTTCAGTAGCGTACACACAAAACTTCTTACTATAGTTCTTGGGAAAGGGCAGCAATATTGTGCCTGCGGGGCAACAAGGACTCCGTTATTGTATTTTGCAGCCTTGCATTATGATTTGAACTCATATCTGTGCTGTAGTGTATTGACATGATATTAAATGTTTTTGTCTGACTTTGCTTTTTGTGTGGATCTCTACATCTACTACAATCTGAAGATCAGACAGACACACAAACATACATGAACCACCTTTAAAACAAATAATTTACCACTAATATCTATACCTTTTGGACTTGCCGTTGCAGTATGCCATTATAGCCTCTAGAAATTAGTTGAAAATGTCTCTCTATACAACCTTTTTAAGCATTTTCAAGCAAAGCATGAATGTTACTATTACTATCTTCTTTTGTTCTGATATTAAACTGGTCTCGCTTATTTCTCAGGTTGTGCCTGGGCCTCGTTATAAAAGATTTGCCTTTGTGTCACTGCTCCCCGCTAAGGAAGAAACTTGCTCAAAGTGCTTCCAGCGTGTCCTTGAATTGAACCTGAAACTAACACATTAAGAAAAGAAGCCTTGTATAATGAAACAGTATCATCCTAAAGTGTCTGAGGGTTGAGGGTTTATTAGAACTGTGTTTGTATAAAGTAGACGGATGATGCAATGTGTTCCCCTGTAGGGACCTTCTTTTTTCACTTGCCTGCCTCCATAGAGGTCACAGGTCAGGGTCGGCTACAGAACAGCCCCACTGGACCTGGCACAATAGGCATTTAGTGTCTTGCTGACGTGAGGCCTTTACCTTTTACCGGGCAAGGTGGTCCATTACTAACTATCCTCCAGCCTGCTGCTCAAAAAAATGTCTTCAAAATCACGTTCCTCTCTGAGGGTGCAGCTGTTAAACTCGTCAGTTTCCCCCTGACACCAACAGTACAATGGCTGGAGAGAAATTTACAGAACAGGACAGAGCTGTCTTCAACCTTCAGTTCATTTTCCTTCAGAATCGAGTCTCAGAGCTTCCCCTCTTCAGTGTGCTGCTGTTAAACTCATCGTGCTCAAAGCTCAGATTGTTATGCGACCTTGATATCATTAGCAGCTTTTCCCGTTTACTGTAGTCGCGTCTCGCTGCCATGGCTGCTGACATGTCTAATAGCCGCTCCCCTTGCTCTTCCCTGTCCTCCAGCCGCATGTAGCCTTTACTGCTGCCCCCTTTGCCGCTGTTACTGCGGCTGCTGTTGCTACGGTCGAGGCGGGGCCAGCTGGGGTGCTTCCGCTGCTCTGGGCGCACGCTGAGCATACTCGGCCCGCGCTCCAAGTCCAGAGATTTGGAGTGGCTACTGAGCATGTGCAGAGAGGAGTTAGAGCCAAAGTCAGTCCTTGCTGCTCCCGGGGAGAGCCAGCAGCCTGAGGTAGACGAGGGAGCAGGGGAGAGGGAGGTAGAGGAGACAGAGGAGCAGTGGGAGGACGAGGAAGCGGAGTTACTCCGGTGTAAGCCTGGTGGTTTCGAGGCCTTGGCAACAGATGCTACAGGAACAATCAGAGACTCCATGGAGCTCAGAGGCTGTGACCTCTCTCTGTCTCTTCTCTCTCCTCCTCTATCCTCCTCAGTAATCGCCTCCATCTCCGGTTCATCAATAACGCAGTTGTTGAGTTTTATGACTGGGAGAGTAAATGCAGAGATAGAAGAGGAGACAATAGAGCGTGCGTGGTGTCCTCCCCTCTCCACATCTCCGTCCACTGACCACTGATGGCGCACTGAATCCGAACGAGCCATCCCCAGCCCTGGGCCGCAGAAGGAACGATCCTTGTAGAGCGGCGCTAGCAGCCCCGCAAAGCTACAATCCAGCTTTGCCTGCTCCCTGTGTCTGTGAAACTCCTCGTCACCTAACAGCACCTCCTCCTCTTCTGTAGACCCTCCGCCTCCAGCCCGAGAGGAGAAAGCAAGGAGGGAGTTGCTGGCCAACCGTGCTGCGTTATCAGATCCGAAGGCTCGAAGATCCCCAACTTCTCTTGCATAGGTGCTGTTGCGGTGATGATGCTGCTTCTGCTCTCTCTGCCTGAGGCGATGGATGTCGATGACTGTGGAGTACATGTCTCTCATATGGATTATCTAGTGCAGAAGAGACATATATTATTAGCAGAAGCACTCCTCTGTGGATTACCTGAATTTTAATATCCCATTAGAACATATAAATATTCTAAAGTTTCATATTTGTGTTTTTTGCTGGATGTTTGTGACCTTGGAATACATATTTCTCACATGGATTACCTGGAAGGGGGTACAGGAAGAGGAGAGGATTAATCGAATCAAGGAAGGAATGGAGAGGGCATAAGAGCAGAGGAAATGTGATCAGAGGAAAATTGCAGAGATATGGGTGGAAGGAGGTTGGCAGAAATATGATTTGCATGTAAGTTATGTAGAGATGATGAATATGGATGACTGCAGTGTGCATGCCCCTCATTTTGTAGAGAGTAAAAGAACAGAAATGAGAATACGGGGTTGGGAAGGAATATTAACTACATATTCTATTGACTAAGGTTCTGTGTTTTGGAATTTAAATATCTGTTTGAAATATTCCTTCATAACCTGTCCTAGAACTCATTTCCCGCACAAGTTAGTGTTTAAAATCTTGCAAGGCAGTAAAGACTGCAAAGTCTAGTATGTAATTTCTCTGGCGCCTTATTTCAGCCCTACCTTAGTTTCTCTGTCTCTGTTTTCGTGAAGGATGGCATTAGCACAGATGAAGATGAAAATTCCAATTCCCATGGTGAAAGGCCCAAACATCTTCATCCTCTCAGAGTGACGATGCTGTTCCAGGAACCTTGTCAGAGCGCCCCCAGTCTGCTTGGAGGGCGTACCTACATGCAGAACACATGGAGTGTGTGAGCCTTTTAATATCAGGAGTTTAAGTTTATAAAGAGGAGCAACTCTCACATTCACACATATACTGCTACCTTAACCTTTGGACAGGACATTAAACGAACTTTACCCTGCTAGTTCTCTAGCACAAAGTCTGTGTAATGTCCGACTGAGCCCAGGTGTGAACAAAGCAAGTCATTGGCCGAAGAATTCAAAGCAGGATGGGCATGCTGATGACGCTGAACAGAGTGTAGCTGCTTCGTGCTTTTCTGCTTGCCTGTATGTTGCTTTTGACTCTTCAGCGATATTGTGGATACGTCGAAATGTACATATTAATATCAAGGCAAAAACAGTCAACATTACAGATGAGTCTTCCTCCTCCTCCTGCATGCTCTATCCAGTTGCCTTTGCCTGAATCAGTATTTCCAGTAGGTGAGAACCCGTCTGACACAGACAATCTCCTGTTGTATGCTGACAGTGTCTGGAGTTCCTATGAAAAAACGGCTTAAGTATTTAAAAGCAGTTCAGAGAAACTGACTCTTACCATGCACGTTATGACTAGTGCTGGAGTTTGCCACGTCCCCATCTGTGACGGCCGTCTTGGCTCCATTTCCTTCACCTGTGGCAGATCCTCCTACAGTCTGCGATTTGGCCGAGGGCATGGTTTCACTGTGCGGCCAGTAACCCAGTGTCGCCATGCCGATACCTATGGCCAGGATGACCAGTCCCAGGAGGAGGAAAAACCCAGAGGCAGAATAGAGGCGGAGCCTACCGCGTACAACCACAACATCTGTGCGGCGTTTTCGCTTTCTAAATGAAAAGTATGGAAAGAAAACAAATCTGATGGTTTTTGGAGACATAATATTAGTGACATTCCAAATAATTTACAAAAAGTTACAGAGATTGCAAAAGCATATGCATAGACCTTAACACTACAAACAAATTAAACTTCTACCAGTTTTCTGTCAACCAAAGTAGTTGGTGAAAAAGGCAAGGTCTAAGGTAATCACGGCAGAAAGAGAGCACACTCCTAGCAATTACAGATGAATACAATCTTTGTATCAATCTTTGCATCAGTAACTACTAAGAGAATCACCTGGGGACAGCGTCTGGGGCGGGGTTTCCCAGGCCTGGTGATGCAGGTGGTATGGGCCGGTGCTGAGAGCGTGCGGAGTCTTGGCGTTTTAGCTTAGCCAAGCCTGTTAACACACCTGCTGCTGCAGTCATACTGAACCAACCTGCAAATACATATACAGAAATAAATTAGTAATGAGTTTAACATGCAGCATATGTCCAGCACCTGTGTTTGTGCTGCCATGTCACTAAACAACCACTGATGTGGAGCTGCTTCCCGACAGTTTGTTTGGTCTTTCTTACATACTCAAAAAGATGCAACTAATTGAAAACAACAACTTTAAACATCCATTTAGAGGCACAGATGCACGGGAAGAAAAAAACGTCACCAACAACCGTACGTATTTAGGGACAAGCCTCAGGATGCACATATGTATTTCTGCATAGCCAAAATCTCCCAGATGCTCTGAATATAGGACGTGTAAGACACTTAATATTCAGAGTGCAGCATCGCTCACAATCAAGCAGATTGAACCAGTTCCAGGGATCACAGCTCTATTTGTCGTTATTTTAAGCAGGCGTGTCACCTCACATACAGCAGTGACTTCCAAAAAGCTCCAGGTGACAGTTTTTTACACAGTTTTACAGGGAAAGTTTGTCAGATTTAGCTATGATACAGCACACATACATTTACACACCCATTATAGTCTCCTCTGTTTACTGGTGATGTTTTGTTGTTGGAGTCCAGACTTTAAGACAACATGGGCAGTGGTGTGCCTGTGTGTGAGTGTGTGTGCATATTGTACATAGTCATACACCCCTCCGGGATGGTTGTTTACTGCTTTTCTTCCTGTGCGTATCAGAGAGAAACTCAGGAAACAAGATGATAAGAGATATAGAAATAGAAAGCAAGCAAACAGAAAGAGAAACACAAATGGTTTATGTTTTTTAGTCCTAGGTTGTTTTTATTCATTTTAATTCAAATCTGTAATTTATTGCATGTGTATTTTGTCATTATTTACGTTGTTGCAGTTATAAAACTGGAAATACAGTGCTGCAATTCTGAAATAATATTCAAATGAACCATAGTCTCTGCTCACCAGCTGCTCAGATGGTCTATTAATAGTTGTAAAAAGGAAGAGGGCTTAAAACAAACAACAGGCTTATTCCGGGAGCCTTCATTTGGGTCTAAATGCCTGTTAATCTGGGCGCACATGAACATTAGCATTGTCTTGTTTAGTACTAAGAGGATTAAACAGACTATATTTGATGTTAAATTAAGTACCAAGTATTCCTCTTCAATACAAATTCTGGCAAAGTTACTTAATTGCAACAGGTTAACTGACTTGTTCGTGTTGGTACTTTCTTTAGAACTTGGGACATTTTCGATGAAAATATAAAACTGTGTGTCACCACAGTGACCCCCAGCAGTTGAGGGCCAGGCACCATACAGTAGAGTCAACATTTACCTTTTAAATACATACACTACATGTCTCTGTTTAGCCTCCTTGAATGGGCACAGAAAGCTGCCCTAGAGCGTTTAAAAGTTTTATTATTCAATGAAAATTTGTTTTGGGAACGAGACTCAGGAAGGTCACCAGCATAATTGTCTACAATTGTCTCTGTATAGTTATAGTAATAATAGTGTATTTATTTGGTTACCAGTTTTATGTCACGTCTGTTTATATAAGAGGATAAAACAGATTTAGCATGGGAACATGAACACACCCATGACCTTCGTCTATTTCTTAATTTTGTTCTCTCTCCTTGCTTCCACTGTATTTTCTTCCTCCAAGAATGCACTATCTGTAAAATCTCTCCCTTTCTCTTCTATTCTCGCCCTCGGTCTGTCGGCTAATGCATTCTGGTTGTGACCCTGAATCATTTTACTTTAATCATTATACTTCATTTTCCTCCACCCTTTCTTTCTCCTGTTATCTCCTTCTGTTTGTCTTTATCCACCCACTACCCTCTGTCCTCTCAGATCTATTTTTAATCCGTCTCTAATTTTAATTTTCTTTTATTTGGTTACTTCCCTCTTTCTCGCTGGCTTCCTTTCTTTTCTTCTACGTTTCTCAAAGCAATAAAGTCTGCTTTGAGAATCAAAATCAGACAAAGCTTTTATTTTTTAAAGTGACTGTGAATCAGACGCAAGACCAGACGTTCTCTCCTCCTACCCTCTTTTTTCCTTCTCACATCCTAATGTATTTTTCATGTCAATCATCTTATTGGTAATACTGCTGTAGGAAAGTGCTTTACCACAGATGGTGAATCACACAAGGACAAACACTACCAGCCTCTTTTCTCTGGTTTTTCTGTGCTTCCTCTCACTCTGTCTCTCTCTCTACTTGATTCTCTCCTTTCACTCCTTGGTGTGCGTCAAACAGGAACCCACACAATCTTTCAAGAGCAGGGGGATGGAGATTTCCTTGGTTTACTGAAAGATGAGAAAGGGATGGACAGGAGTACGGGGACATGATAGAGGAAAGGAGACAGGCAAGACCAAAAAATGACAGAAAAGATGAGAACAGGAGTACAGGAACAGGAGGAGAAGTGGGGAGGAGATGAAGATGAAGAGGGAGATAGAAGCACTTATGCACTATACATCAGTGCACCTTACTGGGTGCAACACTGAGTCATGACCGGAAACTAAAAGCCTGTACAAGAACTGAACAAAAAACAATGGTAAAAACAGTTTTGAAGGAGATAAAGTAGGGGGTGATGAGCGGATAAAAAGAGGATAGAAAGGCCTGACAGTAAAGGAGAGGATAGTGCTGTTCTTCCAGCAAAACAGAGGCAGAAAACAAGCCAAGTGCATCTGTTGTTTTAACAAGGAGGGAGCAAGAAACAAGTGGGGCAGAGAGGACGAAATGCTGCCGTAACAGACACACCAGCAGCCTAATGAGAAACCACTCAGGCTCTGACACAACATGGCTTTCTGCTGTGGAGAACCTGTTGGACCTGTGCAGTGACCACATGAAATGACAACTTAATATTCAGTAACTGCGCTCAACGCCTAACAGCCAATCAGCCAAGTCTGCGCTGGGTGTTCATAGACCTTTTTGTATGCAGCATTCAGTGTGTTATGTTTTAGGCTTTTGAGAGAGAGAGAAACTTGCTGTTTTCTGCAACAGAAGAATTTATCACACAGTGTCCATACACAGACTGCATTAATATTAGTTAAAACATTTTTGCACGTCGAATTAGATAAAACTTCTGAATAATGCAAAATGCATTGCTGCATTTTTCCACTTTGCTGTCTTAATAAGCAGTTTTCTAAATGAGTGTTTAAAGAATCATGAATTAGCCTCCATTTGATCACCTCATTATTAATGTGCATAATGTGCACTCACAGAGGCAAGAAAACTATTAAAACAATTTAGTATACCTCGGGGTACAGATTTATTCTGTTAATGGAGACATAACATTTAGAGACACACTTACATGAGTTCCCATTTTAAAAACATTGCGTCTTTCAGAGCAGCGATATCTCCCCACACACACACACACTTTCATGCTTCCTCTGTGATATCCCGCTGCACATGTTGTGTCCTTGAGCGGGGAGATGCCTGTTAGTATAACGTCAATTTACCTATCTATAGGAGATGTCACGTGACGTTTTGTCCCTATAGCAACTACGTGTGCCGCTGCTAGGTGACACGTTTCTATAGCAACTACCAGCTGTGTGCACAGGAATGACAGGTGTATCATTAACTCTACATTAATAAAGGGGCATTTCCCATGGCTAGGTTTGTTTTTATTTTGTCTTTCTATTTCTATGTGCAGATGTGGGGCAAAAACAGACCTGGTTCACAACACAAGGTTTGGAATGGTTTAACTTTACCTCTTTATCAATTTTAAAGATGTGTGATATTGAGAGGGGGGAGGAAAGGTGGAGACAGCAAAGGATGCTGGTGTAGAACAAGGAGGGGTGTGGATGGATAGTGACAATAAGGAATTGGCAACTAGGATGAAATGAGAGGAGGCGAGAGTGAAAGGGAGACACCAGGGATGAAGAGAGAGGGTGAGAGAAACAGGGAGTTTGGCATGAGAGGTGCTTGCAAAAAAAATACACTTTTTTGCGCTCTCAACATGTACACGTTAGCATTGCATTTGTGGTGTTAATTGCATTTTGTTTATGCGATTTTTGGTGAGGCTCTACAAATGTGGCGTAGAGGAGGAGAGAGGACAGGTTAGAAAGACAAGGAGAAGAAAGGTAGGGGGGAGAGTAAAGATGCAAGAAATCAGGACCAGAAGAAGACAGCCAGAGGGGGAAGACAGGGAGAGTGAGAACGGAGGAGGTGTTTTGATCTATATGTAACAAACTCCAGAGACTTTTTTTGACTCTAGAAGGACGCTGAAAAAAAGTTTGTCTCAAGTGACTCACTTCAGTGAACTGTATGCTAACACGTCATGGAGAAAGGAATCTAATATGGACACAAACAGAGTAAGAAAGATGTAATGAGAGTGGAATGAGCAGGAGGATAAAACGGAGCGTGGTAAGGAGAGAAAAATTGGCATCTGTTACGCCTTTCCATTATAGCTACAGTGGGTCATGTGTTTTTGTTTCGGTGTCGCGACAGTAAGGTTAACTGAGGCTGCGGCTGTGGTTAACTGATTGCTCTAATAAAAGAAAAAAACAAACCTGGTATCAGTGGCTCTTCTTCTCTGGGTTTAAATGGAGAGACAGACAATGCTCCCTCCTGCTGCTGCAGTTAAGGTCACCTGCCATAATATATACATAATGAGAGTCAAACTACCACTACTACTGGGAAGACTACCCTCTCCAGAGTGTTTTGTTTTCCCTGAGTGTTATGGCAAAATTTGAGGTTTGCCGAATGTTCAGAATATCAAAAGGCACTTTCCTTTCATCTTTCTTGCCAAGAAGAATGGAAATGACCTGCATGATTCAAAGGCAAATAAGCAGTGAACAATGTCTGATCTTTGTCCAGCCTGTTCTTGACAATGCTTTTAACTTGAAATACTGAAATAAAGAGACTGTTAAGTTTGCCCAGGTCAAACCTAAGTACATAATTTCAGAGTACACCTACACTACTATCAGACGCAATAGTACAAACAGAGTTCAGGTTGGTGGAAAAGAGCATGTTTATAGACTGATTTTTATAAAGAATGAATTTAGTGGGATGTTTGGCATTTATTTTCT